TGCTTGTTTTCTGTTTTCATGATACTTGCTTAGGAGAATATTCTCCAAGTCCATCCAAGTTGTTCCAAAGATACGACATCTCCATCCTTTTATTGCTGAATGGTATTCCATAGTATACATACACCACAGTTTATTAATCCATTCGTGGGTTGAAGGGCACCTAGGTTGTTTCCACATCTTTGCATTTGTGAATTGAGCTGCTAACATTTGAGTACAAATGTCTTTATCATAAAATGACTTTTTTTCTTTTAGGTAGATACATAGTAATGGGATTACAGGATCAAATGGTAGGTCTACTTTTAATTCTTTGAGGAATCTCCACACAGAGACTGCGTTAGTTTGCAGTCCCATTAACCGTGCATAAGTGTCCCTTCCCCCTCCACCCATGCCAGCATCTCTTGCTCTGTGACCTTGTGATATGATCCATTCTCAAGGAGGGTTAGGTGATATCTCAAAGTGGTTTTGATTTGCATTTCTCTGATGATTATGGATGATGAGCATTTTTTCATGTGTTTGTTGGCCATTCACCTGTCCTCATGAGAAAAGTTTCTATTCTTTTTTTTTTTTTACCCAGTTTTTAAGGGGGTTGTTACAAATCTTCCTTGTCTTGATCTTTCTTTTTGATTGGCTTGTGTTCTTTGTACATTCTGTTATTAGCCCTTTGTCAGATTCATAGCATGCAAATATCTTCTCCCATTTTGTAGGTTGTGCCATTGCTTTGTCAATTGTGTTCTTAGCTGTGCAGAAGCTTTTTAACTTGATCAGGTCTCATTTATTTATCTTTGTTGTTGCTGTGATTCCCAGTGGTCACTTCTTCATAAATTCCTTCCCTAGGCATATAAGATTAAGAGTTTTTCCACATACTTTCTTCTAACATTTTTATAGTTTCGTGTCTTAGATTTAAATCTTTTATCTGTCATGAGTTAATTTTTTTTGTTTGAGACAGAGTCTCACTTTGTTACCCTTGGTAGAGTGCTATGGCATCACAGCTCACAGCAAACTCATAAGTTCAAGTGGTCATCTTGCCTCAGCCTCCTAAGTAGCTGGGATTACAGGCGCTCATCACAATGCTTGACTATTTTTAGAGACAGGGTCTCGCGCTCTCTTGCTCAGGATGGTCTCGAATTCCTGAACTTAGGCAACCTACCAGCCCTGGCCTCCCTGAGTGCTAGGATTACAGGCAGGTGTCACCACTGGCTCATGAGTTAATTTTTATAAGTAGTAAGAGATGAGGGCCCAATTTTAGTTTTTTACACGTGGCTAACCAGTTCTCTTGGCACCATTTATTGAAGAGGGATTCTTTTTCCCAATGTATGCTTTTGTTTTCTTTGTCAAAGATCACATGGCATTATGAGACTGGTTTCATTTCTAGATTCTCTGTTCTGTTCCATAGATCTATGTTTCTA